AAGAGGCGGGGCCAGGAGCTCGGACTCGGCCCCCGCAACCTCAACTAGGTGAGTACAACTAGGTGAGTACACATACATACACACACACACACACACACACACACACACACACACACACACACACACACACACACATACACACACACACACACACACACACACACACACACACACACACACACACACACACACACAAAGACAGGATGTTCCAGAGACTGGACACAACAACACGGGGACACAGTTGGAAGCTGAAGACACAGATGAATCACAGCGATGTTAGGAAGTATTTCTTCAGCCACAGAGTAGTCAGGAAGTGGAATAGTTTGGGAAGCGATGTAGTGGAGGCAGGATCCATACATAGCTTTAAGCAGAGGTACGATAAAGCTCATGGTTCAGGGAGAGTGACCTAGTGGCGACCAGTGAAGAGGCGGAGCCAGGAGCTTGGACTCGGCCCCTGCAACCTCAACTAGGTGAGTAACTACGTGAGTACACACACACACACACACACACACACACACACACACACACACACACACAGTTTGGAACCCACACCTAGCCAAGCACGTAAAGAAACTAGAGAAAGTGCAAAGGTTTGCAACAAGACTAGTCCCAGAGCTAAGAGGTATGTCCTACGAGGAGAGGTTAAGGGAAATCAACCTGACGACACTGGAGGACAGGAGAGATAGGGGGGACATGATAACGACATACAAAATACTGAGAGGAATTGACAAGGTAGACAAAGACAGGATGTTCCAGAGATTGGACACAGTAACAAGGGGACACAGTTGGAAGCTGAAGACACAGATGAATCACAGGGATGTTAGGAAGCATTTCTTCAGCCACAGAGTAGTCAGTAAGTGGAATAGTTTGGGAAGCGATGTAGTGGAGGCAGGATCCATACATAGCTTTAAGCAGAGGTATGATAAAGCTCACGGCTCAGGGAGAGTGACCTAGTAGCGATCAGTGAAGAGGCGGGGCCAGGAGCCCGGACTCGACCCCCGCAACTTCAACTAGGTGAGTACAACTAGGTGAGTACACATACATACACACACACACACACACACACACACACACACACACACACACACACACACACCACACACACACACACACACAAAGACAGGATGTTCCAGAGACTGGACACAACAACACGGGGACACAGTTGGAAGCTGAAGACACAGATGAATCACAGCGATGTTAGGAAGTATTTCTTCAGCCACAGAGTAGTCAGGAAGTGAAATAGTTTGGGAAGCGATGTAGTGGAGGCAGGATCCATACATAGCTTTAAGCAGAGGTACGATAAAGCTCATGGTTCAGGGAGAGTGAGCTAGTGGCGACCAGTGAAGAGGCGGAGCCAGGAGCTTGGACTCGACCCCTGCAACCTCAACTAGGTGAGTAACTAGGTGAGTACACACACACACACACACACACACACACACACACACACACACACACACACATAGGTCAAGTGCCTATTGATAAGTGCCTTTGACCACTGGTAACTAACTAACAAACTCAAAACAGAGTATAACCAAACAGCCCAAAACAATCATACAAAAAACAAAAAACACATGAAACAACAGCAAATAAAACAAAACACAACAGCAGATAAAACATTAAACCGCAGCGCGTGTCAAACGAAAGCCTTCTCGGGGCACTCTGGGACTTACCCATAAGATAGAGAATAAACCAGTCACCTATCTGGCACTCCTTGGAGACAGCTTCCACCTTCTCTGCGGAGGCCAGGCGAGAGCGGCCCCTCAACAAGAGGTGACGAAAACCGGGTGAAAATGTAGCCAGTCTGTACAGGAGACCAAAGGCGGAGATCACAGCTACCAGCACGAACCTGCAGAGACCAAATATTATTATTATTATTATTAATTATTACTACTGTTATTTTTTTTATTATTCCAGCTTTTATTATTATTATTATTTTATTTATTATTATTATTTATTATTATTATTATTATTATTATTATTATTATTATTTTTAATATTAATATTATTATTATTATTATTATTATTATTATTATTATTATTATAATTATTATTATTATTATTATTATTATTATTATTATTATTATTATTATTAATTATTATTATTATTTTATTATTATTTTATTAATATTATTGTTATTATTACTGTTGTTGTTATTATTATTATTATTACTATTGTTATTCCTGTTGTTGCTGTTGTTATTATTTCTATTATTATTATTCTTGTAGCTATTATTATTTCTGTTATTATTATTATCGCTCGAATAACGTTATTTTTCTTAGAATTCATAAGCAAACTCTTGCTTCACTATCCAGTGAATAGAATTTATTTTCACAAATCAGTCCATTTACAGCCGGGAAAGATAAGTAGAAGAAGGAAATCAGTCCCCATCATCCAGAAATTATGATACATAACACTTTATGGGGTACACGGGTAGGCCTAAGAAAATTAGGCCTCGTGTCAAATAAGAAATGACTCTATTGAACTGGTCGCCATTTGACTATCACGAAGGTCAGTACATTTTTTTAGTCTTCACAAAAAATAATGGCTAGAAGTTTAGTAAATCCTTCAATTTTCAACCTCAAATATAGACTATGTCGTGGTTCTGTCTATCCATTATATAGCCATAATGGTTTTACATTGTCTACTCGAGCGTATACAAAGTGGCTTGAGGCGTACAGCTGTTAATTTGCCTTCAGTACGCAATCTGCTAGGAGAAAGACTATTTCTTTCACGCTGTTTACATTTGTAAACTTGAATCCCATTCCTTCGAAAGTGTTGGTTATTTGTGAATTGTTCCAGTTACGGCAGTGTGAGTTATATTCTTCCCTGCGCTCGGGTAAACACAGACTCCTGACACCTTGTTAGAGCACAAGATTGATACTTACCGTACGTTATGTACTGTCAGGTTACCCTCTAGACTCAGTCTAAAGTGTGTTTACATTGCTGAACTTATCCAGATCACATCGGCGTACTTTTAAACCAATCCGCCTGGTACTATAGCTCATTACAACCCTAATAACCGTGGAACCAGTGTTACTCACCATAAAATATACTCTATAACTTTTAAAGAAAAGAAAGATAATTTGCATAGGGGAAGAAAATAAATCTTTTCCTCAAGGCACAACGAATAATTAAAGGTCATTTTGTGTCTATTAATAATAAAAAGTCGCAATATCGTGGATGGGCCAGTCCACAAAAACTTGCAAAAGGAAAATAAATCATACGACGATGTTTGGGTCCACTCAAGACTATTTGTCAATAGTCCATGACGGACAGAAACATCGTAATAAGGTTCCTCTACGAGGAACATCTCTGTCTTACCACTTGGTGGCTTTAACCCATTCGTCTGTACTCTATAACTCACCAGAACCAGAGGAAGACGAAGATCTTCTGGTTTAGGATGTTGAGAGGGAGAACACAGAGAGCATCGTGTCTCATGATGGTCCCTGAAGGACCAAACTTGTGGAAAGTGCACTTAGTCACCTTGGGGAAGATCTCATCCATGGGGTCGTGGCCGCTGCTGGAGTCCTGACTGTAGTTTAGCACCCGTGGTCCGTACTTGGCGAACCCGAGGTCCAGGAACCTGTAAAGGGTAAATGGTGTAATTTAATGGAGCCAGAAGAAGCAACTGGAACATTTCTAACCCTCAGGAACCCGAAGTACTGAATTTTTAAAGAATATGCAGAAGTACACATCAAATTTATATGACCTCCTGGTGGTGAATGACGAGGGATTGTAGCGAAGTTTTAACGACCCTGTTGTATACTGCAATTTCTCAAAGCTCACTAAAGTGAGAGAGTAAAAAATGTGGGAACTAAAAGCTGGGAACTTAAACGATAACCCTGTAAGAAAGAAGAAATTGGCACAATACCGTGACTGGAACAATACACAGGAGGAAGAAACTTGGACTAGTTAATGATCCTAAGTTATTTGCATAATATTGTAAGTCCTTAAACATATGTTTACAGTATGGAATGGGAGTACTATTATTATATTCATGGGGAAGATCCATATCCATTCCTCAGTGCCTGGGGAAAGAGAGATAATTATATTCCATTATAGAAAAAGGACGGTAGCGCCAGTTTCTCGGATCACAATCTCTCACCGGCATCAAATGATAAATGAAGAATAGATAAGTATCTTAATGTTTACTCGTTATTTACTGGGTTTTCGTGAATTAACATAAAAAAGCCACCGGGCAGCGGTTGCAACCATTCAAAAGTGACCCACAATACAAAGAGGACGTGCCTAGTATGGGCCAACAGGCGTACGACAATGCTCCTACTTGCTTTGAGGTTTTCTCGGTCCGTCTGGACAACAATCATTCACTCGTGAGAAAGAACAAAAAGTCACAATATCGTGAAACAGTACACAAATAACCCGCACATAGAAAAATTTACGGCGAAGTTTTGGTGCTACTTGGACCATTTACAAGTCACACTAAGACACGAGAGTGATGGAGGTAGTATATATAGGCGTCGCTGTCACACTTATCTATATATACTGCCTCCCTCACTCTCGTGTCTTAGTGCAATATTGTCTTTTATTACATTAATGGTCCGCAATACGATAAGTTGAAGATTAACATATGTGTCCAACACCTGTGTATGTATCTATATTTTTTTGCAAACTAGGGGTTTCTTCAGTTCAGTACAGGGATTATGTCCTCGGTATCTTAGCCTTGACTGAACTAGAGCTGATGCATGAGGATGGAGACTCATACACTGGAATCAGAAGATTGTGTGCGTGTGTGCGTGTGTGTGTTCCGTCTCTCAACGGGCGATGACCAAGAAGAAATTCTTATAATGACAGACGTGCAGAAGAATGCGCCCAGCTCAGGAGGCAAACTTTTTCGTGTTTTTTTTTGTTGCAAGTTTTACTGTTTAGTGTCTGGGCTCATCCTTCTGCATTATATATATATATATATATATATATATATATATATATATTATATATATATATATATATATATATATATATATATATATATATATATATATATATATATATGCAAAACAACCACTCTGAAAGAATAGAGAAATTCCAAGCGCTTTCGTGACTACTCACATTATCAAGGAACTATGAAAGTAAAGCATCCAAGGAAGCTATATAAGGGGTCTGGCCAACACCTCACTATCAGATCCCACAACGGTTAAACACCTGACGCGCGCCGGCCCAACTGAACAGGTCCTTTGCACAACTCACCAACAAACTATTCTACCCAAGAAAATTTAAAAATTATTATTTGTCCAGTGTATTATTAAATTCTTCCCAAATTCTATTAATTATAAATGGATCTAATTTATATAAACCAAAGGAAATATTCATATTATTGTCAAAACTGCTTTTTATGAAACAAGATTCAATTATATTCCTGTCGACCATGGACTTGCTTGATACTACTTTCTCAACTTTTTGAAAATCAATTGGATGGTTAAAATCTCTTACATGAATAAATAGAGCATTGGAATCTTGTCCAGTTCTAATGCTATATTTATGTTGTTTTAATCTTAGTTCGAGATTTTTACCAGTTTGACCGTAATAAACTTTATCGCAAATTTTACAAGGAATCTTATAGACACATCCATCAGCATTTTGGGGGGATTCTTTATCAAAAGTTTTTTTACTGTATCAAGATTTTTGAATACAACTTTAATATTAAAAGTCTTAAGAAGAGAAGGCATGTCAACCAAGTTTTAATGGTAAGGGAGAACCAACAAATTTTTAGTTGAATAAGGCTGGTTGTCCCTTTTTGGATTGTAAAAAGCATTTCTAGCAACTTTAATAGATTTATCAATTACATTTCTTGCGTATTTTAAATCATTCCCTATTTCATAAATTTTGGATATTTCCTCATCTATGAACTCAGGACTACAAATTCGTAAAGCTCTCAAAAACATTGATGAGAAAACAGACAGTTTGACTCTATCTTGATGCGAGGAATAATAGTGGACATAGGAACAGTTATTTGTAGGTTTTCTGTAAATTTTAAATTTGAATTCATTACCCTTAATAATTAAAACATCTAGAAAAGGCAATGAGTTATTTTCTTCAAACTCAACAGTAAAGTTTATAGAATGGGCTAAGCTATTTAATTTTCCAAGGAAATGGTGTATATCTACTTTTTTTGGGCATAAGACAAAAAAATATCATCAACATATCTGAACCATTTAGCTCTGTTAGGGAGGATTGTGATAAGCAACCTTGTTTCAAAAAATTCCATGTATAGGTTACTAAGAACGGGTTTGAAAGAGGATTTCCCATTGCCATACCAAGCTTCTGAGTGTAAAACTTATCATTAAATACAAATTTTGCATCAACAATGCAAAGTTTAATAAGTTTAATGATAGTAGGAACTGGCAATGGTAAATCATAGTTAACGAGTTCTTCAGATAAGAAATTAATAAATCATCAACAGGAACTTTCGTAAACAAGGAAGTAACATCAAAACTAACCATGTTAAAATCATTAAAGTCAGTCAAGGAGTTTTAATTTATCAACCAAGTCTATGTTGTTTTTAACATTAAAGTTAGAAATTTTGCCAACAATAGGACTCAAAATATCAACAAGCCATTTGGATAATTTATATGAAACTGACCCTATGGAGCTAATAATTGGTCTGACTGGATTCCCTGGTTTGTGTGTTTTATTAGTCCATACATGTAAGGTAAAGATGGATTAGTGGAAGTAAATTGCTTGACTAATTAATCTTTGCCTTTCAGTAGAAGTTTTATTGTTTTATTAAAATTGCTGTTAACGGTTTCTAGGGGATTTTTCCTAAGTTTAGAATAGGTTTCAGTATCATCTAAGAGATTATTCATTTTTTCTTGGTAATCATTTTCTTTCATAATTACTATTTCATTTATTTTGTCTGCTTTAGTAAGGCGCAAATTTTTGTTGTTATTAAGTGTATCATAAGACTTAAAGAATCTTTGAGGGCAATTGGGAATGTTTGGTTTTAACATAGAGCTATGATACACTTAATAACAACAAAAATTTGCGCCTTACTAAAGCAGACAAAATAAATGCAATAGTAATTATGAAAGAAAATGATTACCAAGAAAAAATGAATAATCTCTTAGATGATACTGAAACCTATTCTAAACTTAGGAAAAATCCCCTAGAAACCGTTAACAGCAATTTCAATAAAACAATAAAACTTCTACTGAAAGGCAAAGATGAATTAGTCAAGCAATTTACTTCCACTAATCCATCTTTACCTTACATGTATGGACTAATAAAAACACACAAACCAGGGAATCCAGTCAGACCAATTATTAGCTCCATAGGGTCAGTTTCATATAAATTATCCAAATGGCTTGTTGATATTTTGAGCCCTATTGTTGGCAAAATTTCTAACTTTAATGTTAAAAACAACATAGACTTGGTTGATAAATTAAGCTCCTTGACTGACTTTAATGATTTTAACATGGTTAGTTTTGATGTTACTTCCTTGTTTACGAAAGTTCCTGCTGATGATTTATTAAGTTTCTTATCTGAAGAACTCTATGATTTACCATTGCCAGTTCCCACTATCATTAAACTTATTAAACTTTGCATTGTTGATGCAAAATTTGTATTTAATGATAAGTTTTACACTCAGAAGTTTGGTATGGCAATGGGAAATCCTCTTTCACCTGTTCTTAGTAGAATATACATGGAAATTTTTGAAACAAGGTTGCTTAACACAATCCTCCCTAATAGAGCTAAATGGCTCAGATATGTTGATGATATTTTGTGTTTTATGCCCAAAAATGTAGATATACACCATTTCCTTGGAAAATTAAATAGCTTAGCCCATTCTATAAACTTTACTGTTGAGTTTGAAGAAAATAACTCATTGCCTTTTCTAGATGTTTTAATTATTAAAGGTAATAATGAATTCAAATTTAAAATTTACAGAAAACCTACAAATAACTGTTCCTATGTCCACTATTATTCCTCGCATCAAGATAGAGTCAAACTGTCTGTTTTCTCATCAATGTTTTTGAGAGCTTTACGAATTTGTAGTCCTGAGTTCATAGATGAGGAAATATCCAAAATTTATGAAATAGGTAACGATTTAAAATACCCAAGAAATGTAATTGATAAATCTTTTAAAGTTGCTAGAAATACTTTTTTTAAAAACCAAAAAAGGGACAACCAGCCTTATTCAACTAAAAATATGTTGGTTCTCCCTTACCATGAAAACTTGGTTGATATGCCTTCTCTTCTTAAGGCTTTTAATATTAAAGTTGTATTCAAAAATCTTGATACAGTAAAAAAACTTTTAATAAAGAATTCCCCCCAAAATGCTGATGGATGTGTCTATAAGATTCCTTGTAAAATTTGCGATAAAGTTTATTACGGTCAAACTGGTAAAAATCTCGAACTAAGATTAAAACAACTAAATATAGCATTAGAACTGGACAAGATTCCAATGCTCTATTTATTCATGTAAGAGATTTTAACCATCCAATTGATTTTCAAAAAGTTGAGAAAGTAGTATCAAGCAAGTCCATGGTCGACAGGAATATAATTGAATCTTGTTCATAAAAAGCAGTTTTGACAATAATATGAATATTTCCTTTGGTTTATTAAATTAGATCCATTTATAATTAATAGAATTTGGGAAGAATTTAATAATACACTGGACAAATAATAATTTTTAAATTTTCTTGGGTAGAATATTTTTTTGGTGAGTTGTGGAAAGGACCTGTCCAGTTGGGCCGGCGCGCGTCAGGTTTTTTAACCGTTGTGGGATCTGATAGTGAGGTGTTGGCCAGACCCCTTATATAGCTTCCTTGGATGCTTTACTTTCATAGTTTCTTGATAATGTGAGAAGTCACGAAAGCGCTTGGGAATTTCTTATTCTTTCAGAGTGGTTGTTTTGCATATTCTGAAATCACATGTTTACTGTGATCTTATTGCATATATATATATATGTATATATATATATATATATATATATATATATATATATATATATATATATATATATATATATATATATTTTATATATATATATATCTATATATATTATATATATATATATATATATAATATATATATATATATATATATATATATATATATATATATATATATATATTATATATATATATATATATATACATGTCGTGCCGAATAGGCAGAACTTGCGATCTTGGCTTAAATAGCAACGTTCATCTTGCCATATAGGACAAGCGAAAATTTGTGTATGCAATAATTTCGCCAAAATCATTCTGAACCTAACGAAAAAAATGTATTTCACTGTGTTTGTTTAGTATTAAATTATTGTAAACAAATCTAAAATATATTTAGTTGGGTTAGGCTAAAATGAATTGCGCTTGTTATTATTAGGTTAGGTAAATTTTCTAAGATTCTTTTGGTGCAAAATAAAAAAAATTACATTAATATTAATGAAAAAATATATATTTAAACGTATAAGAGAAAATTTCAGAAAGGACTAATTTTAAATGAGTTCTTGCTAATTGACCCGTTTTACATATTCGGCACGACATATATATATATATATATATATATAATATATATATATATATATTATATATATATATAATATATATTATATATATATATATATATATATATATATATATTATATATATATATATATATATTATATATATTATCAAAGCATAAAAATAAATATCTTCAACATGGGCAGAGACGAGGCAGAGAGCCACAATTACATTAACTCCAGTATGCCTGGATTTCCTGGAGTCAGAGCTGGATTACCCCATCACCGGCGGTGCTCATTCCAACTGAGTTACCTCTTATGCTCTCTCTCTTCCTTTCTATTTGATGTTTTGCTGCTATTATTGCATGCATTGGGAAACGTTTAACCCGGAGGTGTCATGAGGTGCCTGGGGAATGGAAGATAATGAGGTTTGATTCAAGCAAGGGGTTGGTAGCTACAATTCCATGGAGAAATAGCTTATCGTCAGAATCAAGTTCCGCCCAACTTTGACCGGTGTTTGCAGTTGAGATCATAGAAGT